GACGACAGTCTCTTCTACGGGCACGATAAAAAAAAAAGAAAATAAGATTGAGAGGACTTGTTCGGGATTTGTCCATGAGGCAGGCCTGCCAAAGGATCAATTGCACTGTGCGTAGTGCATGTCCGAGCACGAAGACGCGGGAGCTGACCTTGGGGGGATGCGTTATTGCATCACGATGCTTCATAGAGCGATGCCTTTTGGCGCAGACGCGATTAAAGGACCAGTGGCCGCAGTCGCAGCAAACAGCGCTGGGAAAAAAGGTGGTCAAATTTTCGTTGGCATGTACAGGATGGCTTTCAATGTAGTGCGCCATCAGCGGATCGCCCTTGCGCATTGAGCACACACATCCTGGCGCAGGACAGTCAATCCAGTTCAGAGAAGGAAAGCACTCGGAAGGGCGGCGGAGATCGGGTGGAGTGGAATGGTGCGTTTGAACATGGCGTTGCTCATTGGAATCCGAGACAAGCATGTTGCAGATTGCACAAGACACCGGAGAAGGAGTCGCCATAATGGCTGCACGCAAAGAAAAGAAAGGCAAGGTGAGATGGTTCACGCATCAATAAATGGCAGCGCATGCGAGGAATGAGGAAGGGTGGGGACTCACCGTTGAGGAGAAGGAAAATGCAACGGAAATTGTAACGGAAGAACGAATCTCAACGGTCAAACCATAAGGGATGACACTTGGTACGTGACCGAAGTTGTCTCGATGAACAGGTGAAAAAGTGTCTCCGCCGTCTGCTCGTTTCCTTGTGCGATCTTGATCGAGAGTGCATCAGCGCTGCGCTTCGCTGCGCTGCGCTGCGCTGCTCTGCGCTGCTCTGCTGATGGACGACACTGTGAGTGGATGAGCTTTTGGGTTAATGGGGTGACGGGGTAGCGGCCCGGGTGTCGGTGGTCTTTGTATCGATCTCTTGTGATGATTGAACTGGTAGTCTTTTCCTCACTCACTTTTTGGGGAGGTGGGGCATCGCAGCTGAGCTAATCAGATCCCCCAGACAAGCACAATCGCGCTCAACGCAAGCACCGTCGCACCAGACCTGGGCTGCTCGCACGTTTCTCAACAAGAGTTCCGTCTGGAGCTGTGGTTTTATACTCTTGGCGCTTGCGCCAGGTGTACCGCTTGTCAATCCCCCACCCGTCGGCGGGGCAGGTGCACCCGTGGATAAACATGGCCAGCGTTGGGCCAGCCTACCGGCGCCTCTCCTGGCTCACCATTGCCATCGTCGCTCTGCAATTCTTCCACTGGTTCAATCCGTCCGAGGGCTACTTTTACGACTTTGCCGCCCGCCGGTTTCACGTGACCGGGCTTGAGCTCAGCGATGACATTTTTGCGTACGATGTCGCTTTTCAGCTCGCTGGTGGCCTCTTACAAGCCATCCTCTTCCACCTCGTGAGTGGCTATCTGGCCCTTTCCATTGCCTCCGCAGCTGCGGCTTCAGCAGCGGCCATCGTGCTCTTCTGCCATGCCAAGACCTGGCTCCTCCTCTCCCAGGTCTGCTCGGCCCCCGCACAAGCCCCTCTGATCCTGCCGCACACACACACACACACACACACACACATACACACATGCACACACACATACACATCTGTAGGGCTAGACCTAACCGGCCGCCTCACCGTGTGTAGGCAGCTTGGGGTCTTTCATTCACCGTCCTGTACGTGGCCCCCGCCTTGATCATCAATCATGAAGACCCGGACAATCACGCCCCAGCCCTGGCCGCCAATAGCGCTGCCATGCTCAGTGCCTCCCTTTCCGCCAGTCTGATTGGCTTCATCCTTACCATGACTGAGCATGACAGTGCCTCCTCCGCAACCTTCATTGCGGCCTTGGTGTCTGCGAGCGCTTCTGCCCTGCTTTGCTTGCCCGTTTTTTGGGCCCAGCGCCAAGGTCGCATCCACGCTGCCCATGTAGCGGCCCACCACCTCAATGCCCCAACCCGTCATCCTTACCGCGACACCATCGACGATAGCTTTTCAAAAGAGCCCCTTCTCTTGGAGATTTCCGAAGTCCCTGAGGGCCCTGATACGTATCGCACCGCCTGCATGCGCTTGATGCGCCAGCGCCGCTTCTGGTTTTGGCTCCTCAGCTATTGCGTCGCCCGAGGCGCTCACACCCTCTGCATCACCCTCTGGAGCGTGCTCTCTGCCGACGTCGACGACCGCGAGCACGTCCAGCGCTTCAATGGCCTGGTCCTCTTTCTTGGTTATGCTGCCGCCGCTCTGCTCGTCCTTGCCTGGGGCAGCTTGCGCCGTAGCGATGATCACCTGGCCTTGCGCGCGTGGCTCGGTCTACTCATCATCATGAGCCTGTCCCTGTCCACCCTTGCCCTCTTGCACTCCTACCCTGCCTTTGCCATTCTTTTTGTCGTGTACAACTGCAGTGCCGAACTGCTCCTCGTCGTCGTCCTCGTGCAGCTCGCTGCGCTCGTGGTCAAGGCCACTGACCTGCATGTGCGCCGGGATGTCCTCAACGTCATCCTGTTTGCTCGCTTCACCATCTCGCTGACGCTACAAAGTCTCTTTCAGCTCGGTTTGTTCCCCAAATGGGGCCGCCTTGACAACATCCTAGGTTTGGACCTTCCCGTACGCACTCAGTTTGTAGCCCTGGGTGTGCTGGTGGCCATCCTCTCCGCTTGTGTCGGCCTGATTCGCTTGATCAATCATCTTCGCCACGGCTGGCGCTGGACACTTTAAGCAGCAGGTCGAGTCTTATAAAGAAGAAACTGTGCGTGTCGAACCGAATAGTTTTTGTTTTTGTTTTGTTGTCGTGCCCCCTTGCGTGTAAACTGTGCTTGTCTTCTTCGGTCAAAAAGACATCGAGCTGCTCGAATGAGCAACGATTGTGGCTGGGAGCCCAGTGTTTGGCTGCTGGGCAGCCATGCCTCCCCCTTTCTAGTTTAGACACGGACCAGGCTGAACTTTTGTGCGTTTAACACTATGATGAATGATGCACACATCATTGTCTCAAGCCGTAGAGACATCGATGCCGATGAGCGCTTAATTGAAGGTCTTCGTGCAACGCACCAGCGTGAATGGTGGATTGATCCAACATCAAAAGGGTTCCTGTGGTGTACCCTGCACCAGTGCAGGCGCTAGAGTGTCATGTTGCGAAGCCCATGGTGTTCCTGAATGATCCAGATGAAATCTTCAACGCGCTCCTCTTCCACAACATAGCTACGCAATTATCAAATTGTAATGAATCAGCTCAACGTGGCTTGCATCAGCACTGCAGTTGAACAGAAGGAAGGCGTTTCCTTAACGAGTGTCTTCTTGGACATGACCAAGTCCGCTCACCTGTCGAAATAGGCATGGGTGCTGTTGTGAATGTTCAAGTGACCAAAGCTGTAGGTACCTTGCGCCGATGACCGAAACGCAGACCATGGTAGGCGTCCCGTCTATCACCCCGATGCCAGAACAACAGTGCGCACAGCATATCGGACGTGAGCTGCGGTGCTCCAAAAGAAACCATGCACCGTTGCGCCTTGGAATGGCTGACACGCGCACCAGGATCGGGTTGAGACAAGCTCCGTTGGCTTCATTGCAGCCGGCTGCGCCCGATACAAGGTGAACTGCTGCCTTTGGGTTGATGTAGTCAAATTGGGTCACCGTGTTGTTGTATGTCGGCCAGAGGCGTTCATAAGAGTGTTCATGCGCCTCAAACACAATGTCAACGCCATACTTGTGAAATAGGTCCTCTAAGCCAGCCCGCACCTGAGACGGCCCATTCCCAGAGTCACATCGCGAGAGCATGGTTCGGCAGCGTGCAGGATGAGCGTGCATGGCGATTCGCATGTCAAGGCGGCGCACGGCCCATCCTCAAGCACTTACCACCGAGCTGTTTTTGGTACAGTCGTCGCCATCAAGGTTGCTGCAGTACATGGGGCTGTGGAGCAAACAATTTCGGCGATCAGATCGGGGTGGGCCGATTCTTGCGTCTGCACGGATCGAGCTGCGACTATCAGCTACCATCGTGAGCAAGCGAGCCCACGCACCGGTGCCCAAACGCAATAATCCATGGTCGCAAGGTGCGGTTGGCGTTGGCCGCCTGTAAGTCTGCCTCCAGCCAGTCATACTGCCGCTGAATGTCAAACTTGTTGGAGAAGTACACCTCAGTACTATGAACAAACAGCACAAAAACAAAAAGAAACCTTCTAGTCAACCTTCATCGACACTCCAACTGATGGCTTCACCTCAAGCAGCATCCGCAGACAGATGGAAGGCGAAGCGATGCTGCAGATAAATGGCCATACCTGTAGCTAATAAAGTGAACCAGATGCACGTCCCATGAGTGCCACAGCATGTCCCAACCGTTGTTGACATCATAGCGAGGCATGGTGAAGCGGCTAGAGTCATCAGGCCAGATGAGATGAAGATGAAGAGTAGTGCAGGACGGCAAGGAGCAATGACGAATGGGTTGGCAGGGGCAAGTACAGACTTGAGGTAGTTGGAAAAGGAACCATCTTCAATTTCATGGTTGCCCACGCAGGTCATCTGTGGCAGGAAACGATCAAAAGGTGAATGGACCTCTTCGACTCTGCGCCCAAGCTGCCACACGGATAGCACCAAGCTTGTTGTTTTGTGGGACTGCACGTACATAGGGCTTGTGACTGGCCAACTGCTGGATTCGTGTCATGAAGGTATCCCCATTGATACCGCCGTTGTCATCCAAGTCGTAGGCAAAGTCACCAAAATGGATAAGCGTTGTTACATTGCGATGATCGTCGCTAGCCTCCAGCGTAAGTCGATCCAAGGCCTGACGATCCGGAGGCAAGGGGGCAGCGTAACCAGGCATGAGCGCAGTTCAACCACCATTTCGTGCGAGACGCGACTGTTCTTGTTTGGTGCCCTGCACGCTGCGCACCTGACTGCCACCATGCCGGCCCATATCTCCCCAAACGAGAAACTTGGCCTCCCAGTCATTGCCAGGCGAAGGGTCGCGAGGCTTGGCTTGGAAAGTAAACGTGGAAGAGTTCTGCTCCTCACAAGCCACGCTGTACTTGTAGTAAGCGCCTGCAAGTTGGCAGCCGGCCACAAGCCCGGGATGAGTGCGCCACTCGAATAGCGCTCATCGCAGGTTTGGCTAGACTTGAACAAGCACAGCAAGTACAGCAAGGCCGTCGTTCCATCCATGACCACAATCGTGTTCTGCCCCCATACCGCGTTCCAAGCCAACCAGCTCTGCTCGATAAATATATTGCAAGCCATCAGGGTTTCCAGTGCCGTTGAAGGCATGCGCGACAGCGGGCACTTGACGGCTCTCACTGCCCGCGTCATTGGCAGAGGCGTATGTGGCCAGGGCCGTGGTGTTGGTGCGGCAGGCAAAGGTCACCATCATGCTGGTGTCCTGCTGGGCATAGGAGAGATGCACGTGCTGCGGACCTAAGGATGGCCACCTTTGATGAGGATCAAACGCGCGGGCCCTTTATAAGGAAGGGAACTCGGCATCGGTGGCAGTGGTTGATTTGCTTTCACTTAAGCGACAGTGGCATGCATGTGCTCAACAGGTGGGTCCGTACGAACCAGTGATGTTGGCACATTGGTCGATGGAGGAGATCCAATTAGAGCACTGTCCGTGCTCCGGCCCTGACGCGTTGCCGCGCATACCGGTCTGCGTATCCCACGCGGAGGGCATAGCATCGAAAGCCGTGAGGATCCAGGTATGTTGATAGCTCATTGTATGACATGGGCAAAATAGTGCGATCCGTAAGAGGTGGCACAGACTTTTGTGTCCTCGCACCAGCCACAGTAGGTGCCGAGGATATTCTGGCAGTCAGGCAGAGCATTGCAATCGACATGTTGCATGCACTCGATGTACTCGTACGTCCAATCTGAGCAGGGAGAGCCATCGGTAGGGCCTGCCGTATTCCCAGCACTGAGGCCAAACACGCACTTGTGTGAGCTGCATTCTTTCTCTTGTTGCAGACTAACCAGCCAGTTTCACAGCAAAGCGGCAATGGCAAGCCATGATCCCGATTCAGCTTATGAAGGACACCATCAGCTAGTATTGGCATACCGCGCTCCGTGTTGTTGATCGCGGGTCAGCGTCGATTGCCAGCACCAGCCACAGCCTGTCGACAGATTGTGACATGAGCCGAAGTGTGGTACAGCACAGTCCGCTGGCCGTCACTCCAAAACATACCGGGCAACGCAGCAGCCAACGCACACGTCGGCATCAGCTGACATGCATTCAATGACGCAGCCTGCCCCACGCTCAGGAACGCGGCCAGGCCCACCAGCGCCAGCACTGCTCGTAAGCACACCATCTTCACCCGCTTCACGTCTGTGATCAGGAAAATGATCTGCAAGTTCAAATGTGTGTGCGCGTGCCATCCACCAAAACCGCCCCCTTGTGTTCGTAATGAAGAACGAAAACAAAGCTTTCGTCGTTTAATACTCGGTTTTTGCAGTTTTTGGTAAATATTGAACTGTAAGACCATATTCAGTAGTCGTGCTTATTGCTGCTTATCTGGCCATTGTCGTTGTCTGTGATAATCAGTGCGTGAGTCATTGTCCTTTTTTTTTTTTTTGTGACGTGATGTATCTCTGGGACCGTGGGAAGGTGTCTGGCGGAAGGGATGCCTGAAAGACTGGTAGAGCGCCACGGAGGGAAATAGTATGTGTGACACAGAACAGGACACAGAACAGGAATTGGTGTTTGTCCCTCCAAGAAATCTGCAAGCAAACAACCCTACACAGAGGTGAACGCACGACCGGCTTGCTATGGAAAGAAGTGGGATTACAGGGATTCAATTATGACAAGCTGTTAGATCGAGAAAAGGCGAGGGAACGCGGTGTGATGCTGGTGGCAGGCTGTTGAATAGGCGGTCGCCCCTCTCGGGCACTTGCAAATCCAGCTCAACGTCATCGCACGGCGAGCGATATCACCTTTGATCGGGACGACGCAAACTTTGCGCCGCTAACTTTGCGTCTGGTTCTCCTCGTCCTCGCCAGCATCTTCCTCTTCAGCTTCCTCCTCGCCACCCTCTTCTTCGTCTTCTTCTTCTTCGTCTTCTTCTTCGTCGTCGTTGTCTTCTTCTTCCTCCTCCTCCTCTTCCTCTTCTGCTTCTTCGTCATCGACATCGACATCGACATCTTCGTCCTCATCTTCCTCGGCATCATCTTCAGCTTCCTCGTCGCCCTCGACATCGTCCTCAGCCTCTTCTTCCTCCTCCAAGTCCGCTTCCTGATCGTCCTCTTCACCCTCATCTTCGGCATCTTCCTCAGCATCTTCCTCGTCGTCCTCGGCGTTCTCGGCCTCTTCGTCTTCGACGTCCTCGTCATTCTTGTCCGTAGCATCTACTTCGTCCGTGCCACCGTGCTCAGCATCGTCGTCAACATCAGCTTCATCATCGTCATCGTCGTCATCCTCATCGTCATCTTCGTGGTCCTCGGCATGGTCCTCGTCATCCTCATCGTCCTCGTTTTCAAGGTCCACTTCCTCTGCATCTTCGCCAGCAACAGCATCCTCGTCCTCGTCCACTTCCTCCCCCTCGCCCTCGCCCTCGCCCTCGCCCTCGCCCTCGCCCTCGCCCTCGCCAGCGGCATATTCGACTTCACTGGCGTCGTTGCTGTCTGCCACATCCTCGTCAACCTCATCCTCATCCTCAATGTCCTCCTCATCGTCTTCACCCGCCTCGTCTAGATCCTCCTCTTCATCCAGATCTTCTTCCTCGTCGTCGTCGTCCTCCTCCTCATCGAGGTCCACTTCTTCATCAGCATCTGCATCTTCATCTTCATCGCCCGTGTCCATGTCTTGCTCCTGCTGAGCGACATGCTCAGCTGCTTCAGGGTCAAAATCTGAGTCGTCTTCGCTCTCGCTGTCGCTGTCGTCCATGATGCCTTCGGCAGTCTCTGGTTTGACACGCTTGGCTGTGCTGGCCAAGCCCTCTGACTCCTCATGCTACCATTAGCGTTCAAAAGACAACGTCAAGCCCGGCACCAGTGTAGGAAAGGGTATACAAAGAAGATGCTGCCTTGGGGCAACAGGGAACGGCTCTTATTCTCAAGAAACAAACCCAACCCCCAAGGACCTCCGTTTCACACCCCCCCCCTTACCACCCCCAAAGAAAAGAACAAAACGTTAAGCAGAAAATCCGGTGTGCCTCACCGTTGTTGCGGCAGAGCGTTTCTGCAAGCGCCGCGTCTTCTTGACGTACTCGTTCAAATCTGAAGAAATCACATTGAGGGTCATGCATCGTCTGGATTGAGCACGGCACATTCAAGCCGACCACAAGGAGACCAAGAGCCGCCTAAAACCAGAAGCCACAGGGCGGTGCAGCAGAGCCCCTGACATACCGGGTGCAACGTCGGCCTCAAGGGTAAACTCAATGACCTTGCCATCGCGAGGCTATCCCAAACGTTGACACGGCACATGTGAGCAGCGGATATCACAACCCGGATCTGCTTGTGCCGCGTGCCCCAGTCAGCCCATACGAGCACGGCACGAACCATAATCTGCAGTTCCACCAACTTGCTTCCTCGCGGCTCAACATTAAGAGACGTGATGGATGAAAGCGGGATGTAAGTCATCTAGGAAATGATGGTGGCCAAGTCAGAGGTGTCCCGACCGCCACCAGAAAGAGCGCGCCTGTAAAGAAACAGAGCGCATAGCTTGGACTCGCATACCCGAGGAGCAAACACGATAGCAAAAGGCAGCAGGTGAAGGTAGCCTTCTGCTGTCTGTTTTATTGAAAAAGAAAAAAAAAGGGGGCGTCATTGAGAGGCTTTGCATGCATGGCGTTGCGAAATATTTCAACGCAGATCGGCCTTCAACGGAACATACCCCCATGTGACAACTTAGCCCTTCGGTGACGTCCGAGAGATGGCAGCTGATACCATGGTGTACCGCTAGCAGAGGGCGAGATGGGTCCAGGGTCATGGATGCGCCTTGTACACTTGCTTACAGGGGTGAGGGACGTACCTAGCTCAGCGAGCTGCTCGCTCATGGCCTGTGCAGGTGATGTGCTCTGAGCGCGGCCTGAGATTTGCTGAGTCACCGTGCTGCACTGCAAGTGTCAGACGAGTCGCACCAGGGAAGCAAGTGTAAGCGCACGCACCAAGTGGTCTGGTTCGAGGTCCAATAAGACTCTGTCCGACAGACCTTGACCACGATGCCCGGCTTGTTGCAGATGGGCTCGTGAAAATGAAAATAAAATTCAAAGACATCGCGCCGGAATGCCTTTACGGCCACAAAGGCGTCAATGTTATCGAGGTGGAACTGATGCCAAAAAAACGTAGCCCCGGTGAGCGACGACGCGTCCACAGCTCTTGGAGGTGGCAAGACTCGGGCAGCAGATTGTAGCGAGGGCGGGCTGGAGCTCTTCGAACCGTGATTGTCTGTTTGCTTGTAGCACAACGAATGCCCGACTGGCCAATTTCGAAATTGCCCTGGCCTCTTATCAGGCCGGCAAAAGCCACCTGCAAAGAGCGATGCGCAAGTTTGTATTTGGTCAGACAGCCATCGGAGCACGGTGGAGGGAATGACGACAGCTGGATCTACCAAAGACCAACTTTGTCCTGCACAAACACAGTGTCGCCGATAGGAAAATTGGGCGGGCCTGCGGCGGCGGGGGCTGGCGGCGGAGGTTTCCCTGTGGTATTGCTGTGTTGAGCGGCCATGGCAAGGGCGTTGGCAATAACGGCTCGGAAATCGTTGATCCAGGCCTCATCTTTGACGCTGGTGAGCTCGGTCAACCGGGCCTCGATGGCACGCGGCACCGACATGCTGATCTATGTTTTTTTTGGAAGCTGCAAGATCAACATGGTGCAGAGATAGAACAAGTGAGCAACAACAAGCTCTGTGCTCCAGAACAAGTGAGCAACAACAAGCTCTGTGCTCCAGAAAAGAAGACAAGCACAGGCAGCACCAGCACCAGCTTCGGGTCATTCAGCAACTGGATTTGCCAAAGCGTTTGCGCAACCCATAAGACCTTCAGCCCACCTGTACTGATCTGTTTCGCTGGTCTTAAAAACTAGCCGTTACAAAAACATGTGTGTGTGTGTATGTTGGTGCGAGGGAGAGCGTGCAAAAGCTGCACCACGATTGCAGGAAAGCCGGTGAGACCGTGGACGGAGCAGCCTAGTACCTCGACCCCGATCCCTTTCGAACCAAAAACCCAAACCCGGCCCTCCGTACCTATATCAGGGGCTGCTAGCTGCAATGGCGCTGCCCTTTACCCGTCGAAAGAAGATGCAGCCAGCCAAAGGCCTCCTGTCCATAACAGCTGTTGTGACCGAGGCAGATCTCGAAAACTCTCTTTTTCTTTGTTGTTCTCTGGTTTTGATTTTATTTTTCACGGCTGGCGCGGAGCTCGCGGAGCCATCGTTTTGTTGGACGGTGGTGGTGCTGGTGGTGGTGCTGGAAACGGCGCTCGCACACGGATCGAGTTGAAGCGTGCACATTGTTTAGGGGTGTGGCGGTCAAACTTGTGTCTGGTCATCATGTTGGATGCAGGTGGGTTGGTTTTTGTTGGGGCCACGACGAGATAGCCTGCCCGTCTCGCCGCGCCTCACTTCTTGTTCCCCGCGTAGACGTGAAGCAATTGCTGGAGAAGCTGCGCTCGCAGGCAGTGGTAAGCATTTGGTACAAGCGGTGCACTGTCGCGTTGGAGTTGTGGGTGTCCGGCTCACGCAGGTCTGCTGCGTGGTGGCTGAATGGCAACAGAAGGCAACTGAACAGCATAGCTCGCTCGCAGTCTCGGTGGCCCACCTCTCCGCGGCCCCCCAAGTCAATGATGCCAAGGCTGGGCGGTTCGTTGCAAAGTGCTTTTGCTCAGCTCAAATGGACTACCGCTTTTAGAACGCCCATCTCGATGCCCTCGTGGTATTCTCTCATGGTTGTCTTTGTTGTTTGGGTGTCCTTTGCTGACTTTGATTCCACTCAGGCTTCAGGCCATGCTTGACGATGTCGGCGCTCGCACAGACATGGAGGCATTCTCGGCCGACTATATCCAGTCTCGCCTAAATTTTCAACCAGGACAAGTGAGTGCAGCAGCAGCAGCAGCAGCAGTCGCCGCAGCAGTCGCCGCAGCAGTCGCCGCATAGGTTGCGGAAGCTGGCGCTCTGTCATCTTTCCAACGAAGGGGAAGGGAAGACAGGCTGTGGGTCGAAGAAAGATGTTGTCCGTGTCAGGGCTTGCCCTTTCTCACTTTCAGTGCTGGGCTGAACACACCTGTAGACGGAGGACATCCACGGTTTCCTGCTTAATGCGCCCCCTCGCCCTGCAGCTGACGTGGCTGCCAGCCCAATGGTAGACTACAGCTCGTGCACCGCCTGTTGCCAGCTTGCATCAAACACGGCCACGTTCATGTCTGGTTGGTTTGCCGTCAACCCGATCCGTGACGTTTAGGTTCAAGAGGATGAGAGTACGCCCATGCGCCTCAAGCTCAAGCTCAAACCTGATGAGAGTGCAAGTGAGTTCAACCATCGACCAAAAAGATAAGAGGAGGGAAAGACTTTGGTTGTTGGTTCGCTGGTTCAGATCATTCCTTCTCATTTGCTCGACGCCCTCCAAACGTCACCAGAACGACCTTCCAGCGCTCCGTCAACCGGCATGGTGGGCAAGATCATGCTCAAGCGCACCAAGCGCTAACCACCCACCAAGCTCATGCAAGGCCGTCTTTTTTGGTGCTGTGCACCTCTGTCTTTCCATTCGTGCTCTATTTCTTCGCCTTCTCCTTGAACACCTTCTCTGGCAAATTACCCCCAAAATTCAAATTTGCATGTTTAAGACCATTCCTGCTCGATCCCCACGCTTCAGCACATCATCGCACGAGCGGCCTCGAGCAGTATATGCCCAAGTCACGGCAACTCCCGTGCCACGGTTCACCTTTCATGCAAGACAGCAGCGACATGCATCGAGTTCTTTTTTTTTTTTTTCCATCCGGATGTTCTGGTTTCCTTCACACACACACACACACACACACACACACACACACACACACACACACACACACACACACACACACACACACACACAAAACCGTGAAAATTTAAAACATCAACATTCACAACCATGACGATGGCACCACATCAACTTGGAGCTGCCAGCCCAATGTTGAAAATGCCGGGCGGGTCGGGACTGGCTTGCAGTCGGCTTTTGCCTGTGCTCTTGTGTCTGTGCCTAGGCCAGGCATTCGCGATCGGAGGCAACGAGGCTTCGGCAGCCGATAAACCCCACATGTCCGTCCCACTATTGCAAACATGGCTCTCATGCTTGACCCGTCGCGGTTGAAATTGGCACTCATCACTTGCAACTCCACATGGTGCATCGGTGCTGCGCACAGTGTCTTGATGCTGGCTGACGACATGGTACATCTTGCGCCAAGGGGCTCGTGAAGCTTATTGCCGATACGGCTGACATGCTTGGCGATCGATCGGTAGGGGTGGAACAACATTGGCTGGCGCAATAGCGAAGTCAAGACGCCGCACATCGACGCGCTTATGCGGTCAGGGTTGCGTCTGGATCGACACTACACCTATAAATGTACGAGCTGTATCGTCATGCTGGTGCCGATGACTGTCTTCAAGCCGCTTCTAGCTCAGGCTCATGCCAAGCCGTGAGACACAGATTGCAGCCCTACCCGCTCCAGCTTGCTTTCAGGCCGACTACCCCTGCACGTCAACCAGGTGACACTTGCAGCAACCCAGACCACCTGATGATATCCTTGTGCTTCTTTGAAGACTCGTCATAGCCTACCCTCCTTCCACTATGCCCACCACATATCGGCTTCCTGCAGAACAACAACGCAAATGATATTCAGTCACCCTCAGGCATCGACGTGCGCATGACGCTGCTACCGGCCAAGCTTCGCGCCGCTGGCTATAAAACCCACATGATTGGTGGGTCCTCGACTGACCGCTGGCGCACTGTGCAACCCACCGCCGAGCCAGCGTGACCTGTCACTTGACTTGGTTCATGTCGGACGTAGGCAAGGGCCACCTGGGCTCGCGCTCCCATGCCCATCTGCCCATCAACAGAGGCTTTGATTCTCATTTTGGATTTCTCAAAGGTGGCGAAGATCACATTACCCAGGTATCAACGAGTTGGAATTTTCACAAACGCATGCTCACCCCGTCCTCTCATCACTGACCTTGCGGTCGCTGCAAGCCGCTTCCTCACCGCTTCCTCACCGATCGTGCGGTTGTGGGCGTTGTCTGAATGCCTTCGTTCAACTGACGAGAAGGGATCGACGGACGCAGGCTATCCTGTTGTCGATCTGTGGCAAGACCACGCGCCAGCCTATGGTCTCAATGGCACCTTCTCAACGTCAGCAACTGGTCAAACTTGTCTGCATCATGTCTCGCCCCACGCCTCAGCTCAACCCAAATTTTCATGCCTCGCACCATCAGCTATTTGTACACTCCGCGTGCGGTAGCGACCATTGCCCAGCACAATGCTAGCCAGCCGCTGTTTCTCTACCTGCCCTGGCACGTGACCCATACACCCTTGGAGGCACCCGCCGATGTTTTAATCCCAGTCCCTAACGACCCCGGTCCGCACACCGTTCATCCTGCTGCTGCTACAGATTTCATGCACGAAGCCCTCGTTTCACACCTGCAGCGCCTGACCCCTCGTTGTGCGTGCGGGCAACCAGACGGTGTGCGGATGCGCATGAATGGCATGGCTGCCATGTTGGACTATGGGGTCAACCAGGTTGTTGAAGCTCTCAAGAACCACAGCCTTTGGAACAATACCCTGCTTCTATTTACCGCCGGTATGCGATCTGGTCCATCAGCCCCCCTTCCTCACCCTGGCTCGACAGACTGAGGCGTTGATGCTGTGTCATAGACAATGGCGGTTGGATCTCAGATCTGAGCTTTGGCGGGTGCGTCTACCTTTATCACTGCAGCAAATTGAAGGAACATACCAACAGAGTATGCATTGACGCTCTGTCCTCACTGGCTGTGTCGATGCTTTACAAACGGTAGAAACAACTGGCCCCTGCGTGGTACGGTCCCTGTCTTGCCTCTCGCCCACGCTACACAAAAGCATCGCTTCCACGCTTTAAAGCTGACACGCGCGGGTTCTTGCCGCTGTGCTTTGAGATCACGGTTCTGAACTCATCCCTGCTGGGTGCCTGGTATATGTGCATCGCCCCAGGTGGCAAAGTGTCTGATTTCGAGG